AAAAGAATCAACAAACTTTATGCGAGCCAAGCATACGATTTCAATCCACCTCAACATATATTCTGCACGTGACAACACTGGGAATAATCGTTTAAGCGGTTGCTTCCTAACATGAAAAATCGCCAAACTAGACCTAAGGAGAATAACTGCGTTTCGATTAATCGCATAAGGTAATATTGTTCAGGTCTTCTTTGCCTAGCATTAATTTGAGACTTTTACGAGAATGAGTTCAAGTTCTGATAATGTCCATTATATGATGCATAAAGCTCGGCCCGTTTCCACCCGAAACAGGGCAGGATATCTCGTGGACCCAGTCAGCCTGAACCTCATATTAAAGCCAAACGGCTGCAGTACAACGCGAATCAGTCGTCGTCTTCTGGTGAGATCGACTTTCGAATCTCTTTATCATACACATTCATACAAACTTTGTAAACTAAAAGAACACATTTGTTTTCGTTTTTTATAAGTGAATTTTCGCGACCATCTTAAACGAAACAGGCAAATTTGCCAAAAGCAAGGGTGTTTGAAGAAAATTAGTGCGCAAACTTTATCGTGCGTTTTTTGACTCATCCACTGTCAAACTATACCATTCCACACAGCATCTTTTGTGCTCTAGGCGTTTATCTAGTAGTTTTACCTGACACTTGAATTCACTTTCGTGACATTTTGCAGGTTTATTTAGGCCTAAAAATTCACTGTCTGTTTTATGATCTTTGCATCTCCAAATGACTCTCTTCCGATACTAATTTTCAAATAACCAAACCAAAACCGAGGCCTCTGGTTAAAAGCATAGCCACACTTAGTCGCTTAAGGTGGTCTAAAGATGTGTAGTTGAGTTTTTCCCATATTCATATGAGTAGGCCTCGCTTAGTCTCACATAAAGGACTAGATCATCCAGGGTCAACGACAGTTTCGACCTCGTCTGGATTTCACCAACACTTCAACGGGATTCGCAACAAAATCCTGCAAATCGTTGAAATTGTTGCTACGTCCCTGTATAGAATTACTTTAGAGGTGACGATGAGACTCATGTGAGGTCGAACCTGAAGTCCGGGAAATTCGATGGAATTGTGAAGCCTTCGCATATGGGGATACAATAGCACTACGAGTCCTAAAATCACCTAAAGTGACCTAGGATGACTAAGAGCTTATTAAGTCACTGATATTTCTAAACATATTAGGGGCGGAATATAGGATTTATGGTATCAGTCAAGACCCCTAATTTTTGTTGTCTCTTGACGACAATGCAAGAAACAAACAACGAAACTACTGGATGAATCTAATCAGCTGGTCATAGGGGAACTCGGACTTTAGGGCTTGCTTATAACTCAACAACAGTTTATCATATCTGTCCTGAGCATTTAGGCTTAGCAATTAATAATGCCTCACATTTGCCAAAGCACCAACTTTCGCGGATTGAGCCAGCACATAATTATCTTTTCAGAGTCACTTAGGTTTGGCCTTGAAAAGCCGTCTTTGTGGAGAGCGAGCAAAGACATGCTCTCCGTCCTTTATAGTAAATATTAGAGAGTCGAGTTTCGAGGGAATTGCAAGAATTTGGAAGATCAAGGTAATACTGATGGCTATCAGAAACTGTATTTTTCCAGACCTCAAAATATTTATTATGGATTTCCATATATCATGTCATCATATAGCTGTGAAGAGTTTCGGTTCTTTGGTTAATTTTTTAGGTAGAATTTTCCACCTTGAAAGCTTCCGCCAGGAAAAGCTGGCGAAATATCCGTTGATTTCCAGTTTGCAAATCAGTGTACCTGCAAGCATAGTGGTTCTGGACTACACCATTGACAACTATACAGGTTTGCACAAATTCCTTATCAGAAGTGAAGAGTAAATTGAAGAGCATTCCTAACACCGGCCTTGGAGTTAATTTTAATAATGCTTTAAAATTGTTACACAACGAGAGTCTTGTTTATTTCACATCAGTCCGAGAGTAAATTTACACTTCTTTGGTTGCTTCCAACCCTTTTTGGTAGTAAGAAGTACGAAGTAGGTACCTCGAAACAATCCGGCGCTCATACACTGGCTATCCTTAGTTAGCGGTGATAGACTTTACTATTCTACTGCTGGTTTAGGCGTGCTGTGATGCATTCATAAGGGTGTTTTTTACTGTCCCATGACTGCCACAGAGAAGAAATAAGCCCAGAAGGGACTGGCCAAGAGATATCTTTTCGTAGGTCTCAAATCATGTAAAGTGTTACTTTGAGCCAGTGTCAAGTAAACGCTCATAGCAGCCAATTTCCAACTTAATCTTGTGGTTGAAGTTGAGCAGACATGTGTCGGATCATTATCACCATATGAGAACTGTGCCCCTGTACTCATACAGACTTCTTCTTATACCAACACTAAGAGTTGTATGAGGCCAGAGTACTTATCAATAATGGGATTATTTTAGCTCTACTAGACATGACTAAAGTGTTTTATTTTTGATTGTTATCATCTCTGCTCCAGCTAGTTCGCCGTTGCTAAAAGAAAGAGTAGAGCCTGTTTTGCCTACCTTTACACGACTGAGCTCATTTCGCTTCATGTCGCAGAAGGCCATTTCTTTTTCGAAATTCAGTTGGGCCTGCTCAAGTGCTTGCCTCACTTCGGTGAGCTCGAGCTAGTCATGGAGGTAATAAATTAAAAGGGGATCAAAAGACGGAACACTTGTTAGTGAATAACTAAAATTAAACATTCGCTCTAACAAGAGAAGGAAGTCGAAATCATAAAATTTAAATACATAGAGATAAAGGAAATATTTTTATCTATAGTTTTTAAGCCTTTATTTGTTGCGTGAGGTATTCTATATACTGTGCCCACCTTTAGACTCATATGACCAGAGTTCGAATACCAGAAGGGGAGCTGATGAAATCTATATGAGGAGGAAACTAGACTTCAACCTGGATTAAAGATTATTCTGTGCCAGTTTGCTATGGAATCAAGTATTCTCTTCAAATGTCAAGAACCGGATAGACTAGAGTTAATCCTTAATTAAACATAAGTACTCAAAAATATAAACAATAAATTAAGTAGCATGCTAGTAGTATGTGGGTTGGAAAATTGTACGAGCAAGTGAAAATATATGCTTTCTAGCATGTTCTATTTAATGATTTACAATAGGTTCTTATACTGGATAAACGTAAATACTCCTCCAAAGAGGATATATCTTCCATTTGAATCTGTGTGTGTCGATATTGACATGAAAAGTTTTTAAAAGATATCAAAAAGCATTTCCTTAATACTTGGGAATTTTACCTGTAGTTTATTAAGTTCACTAGACTTGAAATCAATCTCTTCCTCCAGCTCGTTAACTCTTCGCTTGGTAGCCTCAATCTCATTCTGCATCGCTTGAAGGTCCTCAGTAAGCCTACTATTGACAGCCTGAAACTAATGCAAAAGTTTAAATATTAAGAAAGTGCATATGGATACAGCCGGAAAGCCAGGGTAATATTTCTTCTTACCACTTTTGATAGAGGTCGTGAATTCAGGCCATAAGAAGCAGATGCTCATTGACCAGTTTCTACCCTCTCCGAGATTTCCCCTGACTATTTAATATCACCTATTTTGGTGTTATTCTGCCTGGTGAAAAACCTGCCAAAG